CCGGACCGCGGCACAGCACCGCGGGTTGCTCATCCCAAATGCTTTTGGGGTGCTTAAGAGCAGCCGCCAGTCGGGGGGTGCGTGTCCCTCCGGTGCTCCGGTACCAACAGCCCCCTTGCTCCCTCCACCGGGGCAAGGTTCCCATTTGGAGACCTGGATTGTGTCCCCCTCCCCCCCCCAAAAAAAATGTTTCACTGCATTGCCTGGTCCAAAAAAAGCCAGTGCACCCGCAGGGCAAGGTGATGGAAGTCGGGCTTTCCTTCCCTACAGCCCGGGGTTCCAGCCGGGATCTGTGCTCTCCCGCCGCTGCTGAAGTGCTGGATAGCTACTGCTGCCCGAACAGCTTCCTTCGGTTTCCCTGTCTGTGCCAAGGAGATGATAGAGAGCGATATCCCGTCCATAATGTCAGGAATCCTTAGGAATTCAGGGCAAAACCACCACCCTTCACAGGAATACAGGTGAGGCTTTTACCGACCTCAACAATACATGCTGCGCTGGCACCGCTAACTGATGTTGTTTTCCCATTATTTCCTAAAAAAATCCCTTAGCACATAGAAATCAACTTTTTTCCCTCCTTTTTAGACTCAACCGCGTTATTTCTCCGCTCTAAACTACATTTCTAAGCTGCCGACCTGTTACAATGCGTTACTTATTTAGAAGCATTCTTGTTCCGATACTAAACTCTGTTGGATAAATACTTTCAGAGCCTTGGGTTGACATCCCAGCGAACTCTCTCTACTGTATGAGTGTTGCCAGAGAAGGATATTCTTGTTAACTAATAATTACTGAAAAGTTCCCTTTCAGATCCCCTTTTGCATTGTTATGAAACAGTCACGGAGAGACTAAATCAAGTGTAATAGACACCAGAAGAGCTTTTTGTTAAAACAAGCACTTCTGTAGGACTCCAAAGCACTGACAGCTCTTCTAAGATGGGTGGGAACAAACCTGGATTTGTCAGCAGCTTTGAGAAGTCACCTGTACCACTACGTGTCTGTTATCATTTGAAAGTACCGCTGGGAGTCACGGGGTGGTTCTGCATGAATTACAGTGCACTGGGTTAAGTTGGGTTACAACTTGCCACATGGTGAAAGTTCCAAGAAATACAGAAGAGCAGAACACAGCCCAGCTCCCACAGGACAATAATAGCAATATTTTCTTGTTTTAATATGGGGAACGAGAGATTATCACCTCCCCCCCCAGGCTGGGGGTGTTCTCACCCATTTCCATGGGTAGAAGTGCTCTGCTGCAGGTATTCTTCTGTTAGCCTCCCTCTGTTCAAAATGCAAACCCTGCCCCGCAGCCTCTTGCGGCTCAACAAGTGATTTGTTATACTCTGTGCAGCCACTGTGAAACAAGGTTTGTGGAGCTCTGTTTTGCTGTTTACTAAAGCACTGCTTGCTCCAGGCATTTCTGTTGGCTGTGTCAATATTTGTAAAGAAATTATTCGGCATTTCATGAAGGGGGTGAAGGAGAGAGGCTCTGGGTGCTTAAATACGAGTCTGTATCCTCAGTGCCCTGAAGAACGTCCCACCTTAACAAAGACCCTTTTTATGGAGAGAACTATTCTTTAAGTCATAGCTGCAGAAAAAACTCTCTCTCTTTTGGAGGAAAGTTAGGATTTATCTTGCTGCCAGTACGGGACTGCGAGAGTTTCTTCTTTTCTTCTGAAGTCAGCTGCTTTTAAAAACAACTTTCAATTCTCTGCTAAACATTTTGCACTGAAAGATCACAGTTCTCTAAAGGTTTTTCCCCACACTTGTGATTTCTTTAACGCAGCTTTAAAATGAATGATTTGACCTCATTTAATAGTGGCAAATTCTGATAAAGATGCATAAAATCTGAACTGCGCCATAAATGCAGAGCAGTATTTGTCCTACTTCATGAGAAAACACTTTGGATTATGTAAAAGAAAATCTTTTAGACTGAATGATTTTAAGAAAAGAATAGACCTGTCAAATTCTATCAGCTCTGTTTACTCTCCTGCTGTCACCACAGTCCAAGACTGGAACCCACAGTCCCGAGTTCTCCATGGGGGAGCATCAAGGCTCCACAAAATGGGGAATGGCCTCCAATTAGTGAGTGGGAGGCTGGGGCTGTGCTGAGAATACTCTTCTGTCTCACTTGGAATCTTTCAATGGGACAGTTGGACTTGGAGGAGACCAGGCTTTCCTGCAGGAGTGCAGGAGGAAGCTCTGAAAAGGGAGGGAGCGCACGGGCATGTAAGCAGGGGATCAAATCAGCAAATACCAAGACGTTTTCATGCTTACAGTTTGAAACCAGGGGATTTTTAAACCTAGGAAGAAAAGAAAACACCTCTGATTTTATCAGATCTTTGAATTTTGTGGGTCCAAAACATCTGTAGTAAATTTGATGTGGCACATAGAGTAGCAATGAGGATTTAACTGCTATGCAAAGTCTAGGGACTATTTGTGCTGTAGTAAGATGATTTTAGACTAAGATCTCTTCCAGCTGTGGGATATAGAACATCATGCTGTCCAGGAATGATTAAGGATCATGGTATCTCCTCTGATGCCTCTGGGTTTATGGTGCTGTCATTGCCTGGCTACCAGTGCAAAGTAATACTTCATATTAGCAGATGCCTCTCCCAGAGCAAATGCTACAACCTTCAGTATTTTCATAATTATAGCAATGACAAATGTTTCTAATTATTTCATTTTACATTTCAGGGAATAAAAGTAGAGAATTGTAACACACTGGGATTTTTTAACCCTTAACACATTATTCTTGTTAATTATAATTAATAATCTAACATTATGTTTTAGTGTAAATACTAAAGACTACAGGTTTACTATGCAGTGGTGCACCTGTGGTTATTTCAGCACAAAGCTACATAAATTAAAGGAGCCAACTCCAAGGCTACTAAGTTAGCGGAGAACATTCACGGTCTTCAACAGGCTTGGACCTGCTTTCTCAGTAACAAGGTTCTTCAGCACATGGACACTGTTGTCTTCAAGCAATAGTTTTATTTAAAACCTGCAATCTATTCTTTCACAGTCTAATTTGATTTAATGTACTTATATACATATTTATCAGGGATTATCCCATTCCCAAACTAGGTACAGTTATGTGTGGCTTATTACATATTGCATAATAAATCATGACCTGGCCATTAGAAGGGAGACAGTAACTTGCTGTTGATTATTCAGCATATATGAAAATCTGAATTTAAGGAATCAAATCGTCACTTTAGGAAACAATGTGGCATCTACACTTTGAAAGAAGTAACTAAAATGCATAATTCTACTTGAAGAAATAACATTACTTCATACTTTACATAACAGAGGTGAAGGTAACCCTACATCAACAAGATTAACTTCATGTACACTTTAGCTCTCCTAAGTGGTTCTCTCCTATCTGGTTTCTGGAGGTGGAGCCACACCTCAGGCCTCCCGACTGGCACCACTGGAAGGAGTCTGGGAGTTTGCATGAAGGACATTTCTGCTGACAAAAGGTTCCAAATGCACAACTAACAAAAAGTCACTGTTCCTGGAGAAAGCGCCAGTGCCCCTTCCCTTGACACCATGTGTGTCTGACAGGGACTGAGACCGTGGCTCCATGGCTCCGGGGAATTTCACCACAGTAGTTGCTTCACTCTTTAAATAAATGTGAGAAACCTCCTAGGAACCAGTCAAACTTGGGCCACTGTGGATTGATTTAAGTGGATTAACTCCACTGTTTCCTGTGCAGCTCCTGAAGTGTGCTGATCACTGTTAGTAAAACATCGTGGCCCTTGCTCCTCAAATTGTCCTGCAGTTGCAGGCAGAGACAGGGAGGACACGTCCTGTACCCAGGCAATCTCTCGCTTCCCAGGCTCGCCTGCCTCCCATGAAACCAGAACAGAGCTCGTATCTCACCTCATGAACAGGGCTTGACCTCCCGTTCAAAACATGGACACAGAAAAGGAATTCCTCAGTGCTCCTGTGAGATGTCAGCTGCTCGTGGCACTGCTCTCATTTTAGCTACCTTAAAAATCCCATACATGTGAAAGCAGAATTACTGCATGACCATAGCAGCAAGTACTGCACTTGAGATGGGTTCTTGCAACAGTGCAACCCAAAAGGTTGTGTGTTTTATATTCCCTTTGCACTGGGGTAAATAACTAGACAAGATCCCAGGCAGGTGGATCAGCTCAGTGCTAATGAACAGCACCTGAAGCAATGCTAAAGGGAAAAACAGCTTCCCAGATAGACAGTGCTCTTTTAAGAGAAAACATTCCCGTGGTGCCTGGTACTTCAACACATCTTTGCATTGAGAAGTTTATGCTGATGTTAGTCCCAGGTTTGGGTGTTTGTTTGGGGTTTTTTAATAACAAAACAGATTATGGAGTCAGATACTGGCTGTAAATCCAAACCCAGGGGTGGTTGTGTGGGTAAAGCTCAGCTGGGAGTCCAGTGCTGACATTGCTGCCAACTTCCTCTTAGGCTTAAGCAAACCACGTAGGTTGCTTGTAACTCAGTTTTCCTTCATCTCATACCAAAATGATGTAATGAGGGTTGTGAAACATGGAGCTAAAACGTATAAAAGTCTCCAGGAGCCCATCTACAGCCTGTCCTGTTAGTGCTAAGCACCTTTGCAGAAGGTGTTTAGAGAATCATTGTCTCTTCTGATCCATGGTGCAAGAAAAGGACAGCAGCACCTGGCAGGTTAATCATGTTACATGCTTTTTCCTCGCTAGTTTTGCCTCCTAAATCCTAAGTTTCCTGAGTTGTAGCCAAGGAGGGACTGTCTGGTTCTCTGTGGAAAGCTGCCTAATTTCTGTTCTCATTTCCAGCAAGGCCAGAAATTACTCAGAGAACCTGAAGACAGGGAGGAGAAAGGTGTGCTGGTGGTTTGGGGCTGGATGGGTGGTGTGCCTTCAAGAAGCAAAGAGGACTTGCAGACCAAGAGCGGTGCAAGCTGCTGGCTGGAGCAGGAGAGGAGCTGGTGCAGATACAGGGAGGAGAGAGGCAGGAAACAACCTAGAGTGGGGAAAAGCACCTACGCAGGAGGAAGATGGGAAGTGCATAGAGGGAAGGAGCGGAGCAGACGGAGCGAGGAGCAGAAGGAGATGGTGAGGTTGACTCCCTCAGTAAAACAGAGAATGCTTCTCACCATGGAGACATCTGGAGAGTCACAAAACAAATATTTTCCTTGTGGTGTTTTACATATGAGAAATCACCATGCGTGTTCTGAGGACATTGTGTAATCCCAGACAAAGGAAAACAGCTTCTCATCACCACTTCAAGAGCTTTTCTTAGGACTCTTCGTGTTCAGGTGTCACACTGGATAAATCATTGCAAACAGTTAATCTACTCCTAATCTGCTCCTGCTTGTTGAACATTTGTATTAAGCACAGGCAAAAGCTCAGATGTCAGTGCTGCAACGGCAATAAGTAAATATAAATAGTCCATAAACTGAAACACCCAGTTATTGGTTAAACTATCTGGAGATAAAATCCGTTACAGTATGCTTGTCACTGCTGAGCTTTCCTTTAGTCTTACCACACTTGTTTGGCAGATTATTCTACCGTGCTGTTGAAGAGGCAGCCCCTATAATCTCCAGTGACAAATTGCCCGTGCCAAGGTGTTTGCCAGTGTAGAAGCGGATAGTTCACCTTGACAGTAGTGAGGAACTACCTTAGACCCAGCTCTTAGACCAGCTTAATGTGAGGAAAGATGGTAAAGCTACATCTATGAATATAGATCTAAATTCAACTCTGAAGAGTCCCACGAGGTTATGCCAGGAATGGATTTCATTCCATCTACGTAGCTGTTGTGCCAGCAGGATGTAATTGGTGGGGGAAAAAACATATAGAGATATCTTTAGGTACATCTAGCTGATGGCTTCTCACTGCTGACAGGCCCTAGTGAACTTTGTCAGATGTGCAGCAAATGCAGGAGACCCATCCCTGTGACTGCAGGCAGAAAGGTTGGAGCTCAGTATTGGGAGATCTGGGAAGGAGTTTCGTTCCCAGGGGTGTTTTTCCTGATTCTGGGAAGGCAAACTTTGTGCAGGCTGGCACAAAGGTCTCTTGCCCTGACTGGATAAATATTTTGGGCAGTGCATGCTAGAGCAGGTAGCAAAGACTCACACTGCCTCCGAGCGTTATGTATCATACCTGTCATAGCTCGGGTACATCCTCTGATGCACACAGGAGAACTGGGGCTTAAACCCTCAGCATCATGTGGATTCCTGCTCTGCAGTGCCTTTCTAGGACAGGAACACACAGAAACAAGCGTGTTTTCCTGCAGAGGTTTGAAAAGAGAGGGGTAAACCCCAAGTTGCATCATGTCATCAGACCTTTATAAGTCATCTCATGGTCGCAGCGCCGTTGGTGTCACTGTCACGTTGTCCTCCCAGGGGTTCCTGGCTCAGCCTGTGCACCAGGCAGCCCTGGGGAATGTGCAGCTGGGGACGTTCTTGGTGTGTGCATTAATTACAGCGTATCACTATTTATCTCATTTACATGCTCTGAAAGGAAAGAGCTGCTTTTACTACAGTGGCCCATTGTGCCAGGGGCTGTGAACACCCGTCCAAAGGCAGGATCTCTGACTCCTGAAGTTTGCCCTCGAACGTGAGATGAAGAGGGTGGTGGAGGGGAGCAGAATCAGCGTCCACATGATATTACAGCGTGTACTGATCCACCTGCAGTTGTCTTGGCACAGGCGGTTTTTCAGGTCAGGGAGATTGAACCCGATGAGATGAAAATGTCAGGTATTCCTGTGCGCTGCTCTCTCCCGAGGCAGCTAGATCAGCATTCCTTCACTAAAAGCAGGGCACACAGTGAGGCTGTGCACTGGGACACGAGCTGGGTTTCCACTGCAGAATGTATCTGGGTGTTTAAAACCCCTGAGCATACTTCAAGCAGTTTCACCTTCTTTAAGACATGAAATTTCAACACTGGTTTTGAAGACAACCTGTAGAATAATCCTGAAACATGAAGTATTTTATCCTGATTCAATAACTTTTTTTTCTCCCTTATTAATGAAAACAGTTATTCTGGCAACTAACAAATCCTTTAAAAACAAAAAGGAGTTAGTGAGCAGCCAGAGGTGGTTTTAAAAGAACCGTAAACCAAATGCAAACAGCTGTGCTAGGATGGGGAAGGGAGGGAAATGTCTTTGTCTTGGAGAAAGAGCTGGCTCACACATTTGTCTAGATGTTATTTATTATTGCATCTTGGTATCTGTTTAAGCCCAGAGAAGCTGTGGCTGCCCCATCCCTGGCAGTGTTCAAGGCCAGGTTGGACACAGGGGCTTGGAGCAACCTGCTCTAGTGGAAGGTGTCCCTGCCCGTGGCAGGGGTTGGAGCTGGAGGAGCTTTAAGCTCCCTTCAACCCAAACCAGGCTGGGATTCTGTGCTTCTAGTAACTGTTAATATCAACCTAAAAGTTCAGGCACCTTCCTTGTTCCCGTTTGGATTGACAGCTTGGGTTGGCAGCGTGAGGATGCTGAGCAGGATACGCTGCATAATGCTCACGGGCAAGTCGAGGAGGTGCAGCTGAAGCTTCTGATGACATCCAGCTGTGCCCAGAGCATCACCACTCATTCCCACCTCTGGAAGAGCACCAGGATGAGTGCATCCGGGGGGAGCGCAAAGCAGAGGCCTCTGTTTCCCAGGCTAAAGGCGCGCAGGCTGCAGAGGAGCACCGGCGGCGCGGGGATGGATGGATGCTCATCCCGTGCGGAGCAGCGGCGAGGGCATGTGGTGGATTCATTGCCTGACAGGAGGCGTGTGCTGACCCTCACCGCCCATCTGACCCCGCTGTTTGTTGAGGGGGCTGCGGTGCCTGGGAGGACTGGCAGGGGCCGGGGTGCCAGATGGCATGTGATGTGTGCTGTGTGTCGCCTGTCATTCAGCCAGATTAATGGGAGGGTTGGAAAGAGGAGGAGAAGAAGGGAGAGAAGGGGTGGGGGGGGAAACAATTAAGCAAGAATCCCAAAAACAATGGAGGCCACGTGCCGGCGGGCAGCGGTTGCTGGCGGCACAATGGG